GGGACGTCCGAGGGGGTGGCAGAGGGGGTGTGTACGGGACAAGGAGCTCGTTGACGAGCGGTGTCCTAAAGGCCTCTATACGCGAAGAATCTTGTGTCGGGACATGTTCTGGGACAAGGCATGGGTTTGAGTCTTTTTTACTATTGGTATGATCCGTTGACGTATACATATTGCAAGGAAAGTGAAAAAAAACTTAAACCTATCACTTGTTCCGCAACATGTCTAGAGACAAGCTTCATCGCGTTAGGGTACTAAACGGTAAACAGACACTTCGCTGCTTCATGGCGTTTGAACGATCACCTCAATCTTGGGTCTGTCTAGATAGCAGGGTCTTCCAGCTCGCGAACTTTCGCCTGGCGATCGATCGATTTCGGGAACGGCTGGATCGACTGTTGACGAGTCTCCTTTGACAAATGGTGGGCCGATTAATTAGGGCGGCGAATTTAGCTGTGTACGGTCCAGCAGGGTATTTATAGCTGTCGTTTAGACGGCTGAATGAGTTTATCGTTTTCTAATTTTGAAACTCGGATCCAGTCTGGGTTCTATATAGGACGCGCACCGGAATTTTGTCGTAGACAGACGCCGTTGGCGCAGAATTTTCTATGCAAACGAGAGGATGCGTTCCATCTCCGTTGATGACCATTTTGTAATTAGATTCTAGGGGAAGGGTGCGAAATGGGCTCCTCCGGCGAAGGGATTAGCCCGGCGGTGTTGGTTCACGGATCATTGTGCGCCGTTGAAGATCCCGGATATCGATTCGCGGTTTTGTGGATTACGAATTAGCTCCCTGCACCAAGAAACTCAGTGAAACCGCGGAATGTAGGTTAATAATACCGTGTTCGATCGGGTAAGGTTATCATCTTTATTCGACGACTGTTTCTACTGTTCCCTCGCGCACGTGATGTACATTAATCCCTGCTGTCCGGGGTTTCAATGCTTTTCGAAAAACGACATGAAAGCTCCGTTGAACTTTCTCGAAGTTGTTGATTCAGCGCGTCCGACGGGATTCGGATACTCTGTAAACGCGCGGGCATCGAATCGAACCGTTCCCCGGTGCGTTTAGAAACTTCGATCCGGAACATTTAGACCACACCGAGGGCGTATTGAAATGTTACCGTTCGACACGCGCACACCGACGACGGGACGCGGAGACTCTTCGGTTCTCAGAACGCCGCACATGTGCATCAAAAAGCAACGGCTGTTCCGCGGTGAAGCGAGCCATTCTACGCGTTCATCAATGATCCGCTTCCATCAGCCAATGTTTTCCTAGATCCCTGCACTCCCCCTCGCGCTAGCCGGATGACAAAAAAGTTGACCAACCATGTGCCTCGGGTAAATTCGCAAACAGACCGCGTCGAAAACGATCGTTGTTACGACGGGATTGCACGAATATTCGGAATATCTCTGGAGTCGATACCTTAACTTTAGCATTCGCAGGGTATCGAGCCGGGATTGATCTGAAGCGACGATTCCGTGGATCCCCGATAGATCCTGGAATCACCGGCTCCGGAATCGGAGATGTAGATAGATTGTGGTTATATTAACAATATATCGTTAATATAATTCTTACTGTTAGTTACTTTATTATTCTTTTTTTCGTAAACGTTTTTATAGGAATTTTTGTTGTTATTCTTCATAAAATATTAATTTTTGGAACTCGGAGAACGAGATATATGTACATTTTCATTATTTTTATGCTATCAAGTCATCTCTGTGATTATTTCCTATCCAAGATATTCGAACATCAATGAATATCAGATTTTATCGTAAAATTTGTTACTATATAATAGTAAATGTTTCAATGCTTCGTTTATAAAAACATGGAAGAGCGAATCTGATTATATATCAAAGAATATTTTGCATAGAAAAATATTTTGTTGCAGAGACGAAAGTTCTATTCTTTTATTCAAATACACGTTCAAAAATATATTGCATGTCGAATTTCGAGAACTCAAGGCAAGGTCGTTCAACTTATTAATAGTCGTTCTCGCCGTACCGCCAAAAAAAAAATTTATGAAAAAAGCTTATGATGAAAACTGTGGAATAACAGAGCGTGCCTTCAAGGCTGACCGTATTTTTAGTAACCCGGAAATATAGGATATGCGGCAAGACTTATGTTTCTCTACCTGTTTCGATAATTGCTGAAATTGGTAATGCAGAACATCGATCTGGTTCGTGTGTATCAGTGTTAAATTATAAATTAAAAATCAATCGTTAAACTACTACTATTACGTCAAATCTAATGATCAAGTAGATTAAGGTAGATTAGATGGGCAACAGGAAAATATTAACGTAATACTTTATTTCTAATTATTGACCCAACATTGTAGAAAATAATTTGAAATTCCATAAAAAAATGTCTTATAAAAAACGTACTTTCGTAAAAATAAATATATCGAAATATTAGTGCACATATAAATTGCATATTTAAAATATTCATTTCATAGTCTTCACCTAAATAGCATTTTTCTCACAGTCGCTTCTTCATAAAAAAAATTCTTAAACACTTTTGTTTCGTTGTTCAAATGTTACTTCGTGGCGATTATCATTGGTTATTCATACGTTCACGGCATCTTTCAGTGTATCGATCATATTAAACGAATAACTTGAAGGAAGTTTATCAAAGCTCTTGCATTATTTTTAACTGGTTGAAATACTTAAACACGAAGTACAAAAGTATCGATTCGACATCAGACCTAGTTAATCAGTGCAATGGAGTCTGAATTTACACGTAGATTCGCAGTCCGTTTATCGGCCAATTGAATATTATGTTACACCTATTATGTGATATAAAGTGCAGCGAACCATAGAAATTTACCAAAATACACAAAAATAATCATTCCACATTTAATGAGAACAAAAGCAATTTTCAATAGAAAACTCTTCGACAGCGATTTCTGTGAAGTTACCTGGCAACACGCGCATTCTCCGTCGAACAGTTAAACAAGGCCGAGGATCCAGTTGTCAATTATTTTCGTTCCTTCGATTTTGTCCAAGTGTTGTATTATGAAAAGTGTACGTACGGTACATTTCCTGCGTGCATTCGACGGGTCGTTATTGTCGGTGGAAGATAACAAACAGATCGTAAACTTTACAATTGAGTGCGAACTCTGAAAGCCAGGAATCGCAATGCGAACTGATGCTGGACTTCCGTTGAAAACTTTGCAACTGACTGTCAAACTACAATAGATCTCCCTTCTCGATGCACTGAATAAATACACTGGCCACAAGTAAGTAGAAAATCTCATTCGCAGAAAGTGAACAGCGCTGCGCCCGTTGGTACGTTAAAAACGATAAAGCGTTTTGAATATTTTGTGTTTTCGCATTTCCCATGAACGAGTCGATTCAGGAAAAGGATTTGAAAATTCGATCGTCACGTTCTTTCGAAAGGATCCATCGATTAATTTAAATCGATCGTTGACTTTATATTATTAATTATACGGGAATCAATTTCATCGTCCATGTAATGTCACTGTAACTTACAGACGCACGAGCGACGATGCAACAACATTATTTCACTAGGAGCGACGCGTTCTTATTATAACGTTACATTTTCCGATCATCCCTGTGTAATAGTACGACGTCTAATGGAATATCGATACGAACCAATATATGTTCTAAAAGATTTTGCAACTCGTATCTGCTATTAATATTAGTGGAAACTAAAGGGTTCGTAAATAACATGTTAAGAGTCAATAAATCGATAATTAGGTCGGAAGTAACAGTGAAGACTAACCAATGATAAAATTAATAATGCCAGGAATTTTTTTTTTAACCAGAAATCATTGTGTTGTATAATGTTCATGGATGCATATTTCACGTGGAATATTAAAGAAAGTACATATTTCTAAGACAACGAGATTAAAACGAAACTTTTAAGATTTTTGATATACAACTATTAATATCTCGTTTCACATTTGTTTTTATTATTTTCAATCGTCTGTGAAATTCATTGTAATTTTCCGGATTACTGGAGTGTCTACTAATGTTCGTCACTTATTAACGCAAAAGATTAAATTTAGGTCATATTCCGTTAGTAAAATGCTCGTGTTTAGTTGATAATGAAATATTTAGTATAGTAACACAATTAGTCGTGGTGGGTTTTAAAAGCTGACCAGGGTTTCACGCTCTGATTAAAGGGCTTAAAACAAGTGACACAAACTTTGTTCGAGCGTGCCTAAATTACCATTCGCTGCAATGATCACATCAAAAAATTCGAATACCTTCTTTTTCTTTATAAATTTTCTGGCCACGGATCAACAATTTTCAACTTTTAAATATATCTCGGTACATGCAACATTCGCACAGTCTTCAACGAAAAATCTAATGGGAGCTAAATTACTGAAACCTTTCAAGACCCAGCTTCTAAATTTTAATATTTACGTTTATTTGAATTACAATTGTTTAATAATTACCTTAAATATATTTTCAAGTATTTTCTACGCGAATATGTCACAATAATTTCCGGTCGGAATTTTCTCTTATATTCGGAGGAAGATACAGTTTCCGGAAATTTGAGTCTTAATTGATACGTCCCTCAATTGGTTCAACGATATTGCGGTGGTCGTAATGAAATTCATATTTCTTGTTGCAGTTTGCAACTTCGTGGTGCACGACCGCTGTCTCAAGGCCGTCGTCTCTCCCTGCTCCAGCATCGCGGCAAGCCTCATTAAGGTAAGAATACCCTCTGTTTCTGTTCTTGCCCCTTTTGTGTGACCGGAGATGAGCGAATTCTTCCCAGCGACCTATATTTACGCACCGTTGAAGAACATTCTGTTGCATAGTGCCGTGGCTCCGTTGAAAATTTTCCTTACAATGAAGCTAACTTCGTCGCTGGCTTCTGCTCTGAACAATTACGACGTTCCCACGACATTTTTTTACCCCAGATTTTTCGTGTGTTCCTTGAGCCTGGAAGAAATTACCAGTTCGCGTAATAACCACCGTATATCACATCGTTAACTCGTGAGAGTGCTTATATCATAATTCAGAATCGAAGGAAATTAATTAATCGGAATATTAAGTATTTGCATGTTGTTCAACTGTCGAGAAAATAATAATCATGATCAGCAGAAGCATTTTACTATCTTCAGTAGCGTAACGTGAAGCCACTTTTCATTAATGCACTCAACCGAGTAAATTCTGTACGGTAAAGAACAGTACTTCTTTTGTTGCAGAACCCGGTTGCACACTGTTGGTCCGAACAGGAACATCGTAGAAGAAAATTCTGCAACGTCTGTCGTAAACGGCTCGATGATAGTTTATCCATGCACTGTGAAAGTAAGTCACTTTTCTCGATACAGACCGATGAAAACGTTGAAATTTTGCTGTACGAAATTCACAGTGATCGACATGCGAACGAATGGGATTTTTTTTATTTCAGTATGCGAGTACTTCGTGCACGCGGAGTGTCAGGATTTTGCCGTGGCAGACTGCAAAGAGAACGCCACGTACTTACCTGGGAAGGACTTGGCGCAGGTAAAACACACTCATCACTGGCGAGAAGGCAATCTTCCCAGCAGTTCGAAATGTGCTGTCTGCAAGAAAACCTGTTTTTCTGCCGAGTGCCTTTCCGGGTTCCGTTGCGAGTGGTGCGGCATGACGGTAATATTTCTCTTCAAATCATACCGATCCACTGGAAACTTTCACCGTATCTAAATCCAATCCCCAAAGACATACAATTTTCCCATTTAAACTTTTTCGCTGACTCGAACGGTTTTCGAGATATTCAGCGAAACAAGCGTTGATCTTTAAGGGTTGCTTTCACCCCCACGACACAAACATTAACGCTTTGGGTGCTGAATACTCCTAGTCGAAATGTAGTAATATTTATAGTGAACGGAATATTTTCTTGTTCATTTGAAAATTCCGGTGAATTATGTTAATTTATGCAATTAATTAAGTTGTAATTAAATAGTAATTGTAATTCCTGAGTTTCACCAAATTGAATAATGCTAAGAGACGCGGATATTAATGGCATACACATATAATTGTCACCACGGAACATGTAACATTAGAAAGATCGAAAAAGGCATATATGCGTCCATAGTATCCAAAGTGTTAAACGAAAAAGGAGCTGTAATCGAACAATTTTTCTAGAATTAACCTGTGCTAGGAGAGCGGTGTTAAAAACTAAAATGTATCGAGTTTATCTTATGTTACATCAATTACAATATTCTCTCCCCATAATAACATTATCGACCTCCTTATAATCACATCATTATCCCCGCTTACGTGTGTACATTCTACGTGCACGTGCAAAATCAATAACGGTTGAGTGTTAAGTAAGAGAAATAATATTAACCGTTAAGCTCGTTAATTTGGATAAAAGAAACTTCTTTTTCAACAGAACACATAATTATTTTACAACACATGTTTTTGAAGAGAATACACGATTATTTTTTACATGTTCAGAACTCTGAAAAAGTTTTTTGGTATTATTTGTAATATTGTGAGCACGCGTTGAACATAACTGCTGACCCTACCAAACAGGATTCATGCGAATCTTATCGAAAGGTTGTCGAAAGAAAATATAAAAATTATTATAAAAGAAATCATTGATATTGAGACAAACTTCGAATTAATATTTATAGCGAGAACACTGCATTGCATTTTCAGTCGTTGGAACCGATAATTTCTCCTTTTTATCGTTGCGATCTCGTTTCAGTTGCACTCTTACTGTTATAAAAATATCCCGCAAGAATGCACCTTTGGGAACTTGAAACGGATCTACCTACCACCGCATGCAGTCAGTATTCCACGTACGGAGATTCCTATGGAGACGATCATCGGAGTACAAGTACGTCGAAACGATGTCCTGGCGCGTGAGTATTCCTGCCGTAAGTGTCTATTTTACAAATGAAACTTCTAAAATATCGATTAGTGAATGCGTGACACGTGGCCGGATATACGAAGTAGTGGAATGAAGCTATATATTCGTGTACGTGTACCATATACACTGTAAATAGACGGGCTTGAGTCACCTGGGACCTAAACGCTCGCGCTTCCACCTTTATTCGTCTGGAAAGAGTAAAATCGAGAGGAGAAAAAGTATTTTCCCCTGGATAACGATGTAGCAGAACTCAGGTGACTCATTCTGTATGTCGGGTGTCTGATGAAATACGAACACGACTTCAACAATGAACATTATTTATAGAAAACAATTTGAAAATACACGTGATCGTTTGTTTTTATCGTATCCTAATATTATTTTCGTTACGAAGATAATGAATGGAAAAAATGAATTGAAAGGTAATGTGATAAAAATCAAATGTATTTGTTAAAAATGATCCACGAAAAATATTCTTATCGCTTGTTTCAGAGTCATTCTTGATTTTGAGTTCGTGTCTCGGCACACCCTGTACATGTACCTTTACGTTTACTGTTGTACGTACGAATGTCGACAGACATCGACACACAAACACATTGAACGTCTAATTTCGAATACGAAGAAAAAAAAAGAGTTGAAGAATTAAATTCATTTTGAATTTAACTAAACAATGCGTTCTTGTAGAAACAATGGGGAACGGAAGTCATTTGCATCGAATTTTTCAATGGTATCTCACATCTCGTCACTGCGTGTCAGCCTTAACGAAATCATTACATTCTCAACGAGCATTCGAATCAACGGAAATCACTCGAACATGAAAATGTTTAGCAATCATCGGGTGTTGATGATATTTGCATATTACGCTCAGATAACAAATAATGGCTCCATTAAAATTCTCCGTGTTCCACAGACGGCCGAATTTCTTCATGTTTACCGTACACTTTTAATCACACGATTCCTTCGGGTTCCTTTTGTAAATGTCATCCGTATTATTATCTCTTGACGCACTGTCTAAAAAAAGAAAAATAAAAGTAACACACGATCATGTTCTAATCGCCTTGTATTGGATGCATAAAACGCCTATGTTCATACCAGTGACACGTCATAGCAAGATTATACTCTAGATATAAATATTAGATCGTGTAACATGGAACGTCGGATTTTTCTTGCTTATAAATGTTCGTACTCCTGCTCTTGTTACTTCTTTGTTTTCCATATAACCTTTTAAACAGTGTCATCATCGATTATCACAGTAACTTTTTACAAACAAATTTTTCCAAATTATGCACAATAACTATTTCTTGCATCATTGTTTAGAAACATAGATATCAACATTCGTGTAATTTTCTGGTATGAATTCAAACTTAGGAACAATGTTGCGAAAATCGCTGAAAATATAAACAAAGCATTACGGAAGAATAATGTAAATGAAAGAACAGTGCAGGGTTGATTTGCGAAATTTCGTTTGGTAATTTTTTTATAAAATGAATTGCGTAAACCCGAAACAGTAATTTATAAAGATGTTTTTAGAATTTATTCATTCTAAACATTCAGAATCTTTCAAAAACGGAATATATTCATTAAAAACACGTAGGCAGAAGTGTATCGCATCGAATCAAGCATATTTTCATTGAATAAACGTCTTTTAGAACAACAAATAAGGTTTCCTTTTTTCCACAAAATTCGACATTTCATGTTACACGACCTAACAGAATGATCACGTTCTACATGTTTCCCGTGTGTTCGAGCAGGAATTGTTGTTTTTTTCTTCTAGATTTCATGTGACATTCACTACTTCGCCTTTTCGTTTTCGGAAATCGATAACTCTCTCCCCCCTCCTCTCCAGCGTGCACTTGCACATGCACTTGAAACGAAACGCGGAACGCTTCGCCGGGAAGAACGAAATTTTTCACGGGATAGCGCCGATTATCGTGTACCGCGAGATATGAAGGGGAAACCAAGCAGATACAAGCTAATTTCCATTATCAGCGGCGCTGCCCGGAAGAAAAACAATTTGAATATTTGACGATTGTTTGCATACGAATCTTTTGCATGATCTTTAGCATTCGTCTCTTTCGTTAAGTATATCACTTGACTCTATGAAATACAGCGTGCTCAGAAAGTAACGGTACAACCGAGAAACGGGTGATTATGCGTGTAAGAAAAAATTATGAAACATATTAAAATAATTGTAATTAAATAAAGAAAATTTAGCTACCGATTGTGACCTTACATATCACTTAATTCGTATATTTGTACATTACATTTTGATTAATTACTACACGTTAAAAAGAATAAGGAACACATGATTTCTGGGTATTAAATATTATAATATATTATATTAAGCATTATTATTTAAATTGACATTTTAACATTTATTATTTTTATATAAAATAATAGATGTTCGATAGAAGAAAAATAATTCCATCTGTTGTCGATGCTGACTGTAAGTAGAAACAGCGTGCAATGGTCAGACGGGGTAGATAATTTATTCAGAAACACGTGAGCTTGTCGTATTTTCATCTTTTAGTTTTGTCAAGAACGAAGCTGTGTCTAAAACACTTTTTATTCGGCGTTCTTTTATTCGAAATCTTCCTTTTCATTCAACGTCTGTGTTTTCCCCATGTGGAATCACTTCTTTCTCGGTTCTCCCATTCTGTACATAGATGTCTTTTTTATCAGTGCACAACGATCAATCTGTCGAATAAAATAAGAATTCCCATTCGTGTCTTTTTGGCTCTCGAACTTGTTTCTCTTTGTGTTTTAGACGTCACCCGAATATTCTAGCGATATATTCTCTTTTATTTCCTAGTAGACACTTGTCTTTAGCGATTGCTACACCCCTATCTTGCAATTTCTACCGCTCTCAACGTTGCACTGTTCCAAGAAGAGTTTCACGAAATCGCGGAAGTTCGAAAACATACTTTTTCATTTTCGATTGTTGGAACAGAAGTAAAAATTAAAATTTAAGAGACGAATTTTTGTTACGTAACAATATAGGGTGTACAGTGAATTAGTTAAGTAATATTAATTTTAAAAATAAAAGGAAGGCTTAATCGCTTAATCAGAACTGCTTTGAACATTCACGAGGCAGGAAAAAACGTTGATCTTATTTAGGAAAAACAGAAATGTAAATTATTTTAATATGAATCAGAAAAAAATTAAAATTTGATATTTAATATTTTTTAACAATTCTTTATATCGCCATACCTGTTATCAAATAACTTAACTAACTTATGTTCTAGATTTATTTGGTATTTAGTTTTTGAAAATGAGGGAATAAGTGTTGCAAAATTGTTTAAATTAGCATACAGAGATTCAATTTCTTTACACGAATCGGAAAGTAAATAAATATACATTATTTGTTATCAGTATTGAACACTTCATGTCTATTTAATTCTTCACCAGAAATGGTAAACATATTTCTGATCGTAATATATCTTTGGATACCTCGAAAACAAGATTGCGATCGATATAACTACAATAGTTTGCGTATATTTGTCAAGTTTATAGCTTTGTGGCTGTCGCTGTTATTAATCGCTATCCTTGATGTGCATTTAATGAGCGTAATTACATTTATGGTTATTATATCGATTCGTATCGCTTTACAGTTACAATTATGCAAATGGCAAGAGAGAAAACGTCTGTTGCGTTTGTGAAAGATCAAAAAGAAAAGTACGCAGCTGCTTAAATTGCATCTACAATTAATTACACGATTAAAAATGTGAATTACCTGCCAAAGTCGAAAGTAACGTGGAGCTCCAAGCCATCCTTTCGTTTAATTTCAATTGTTTTTATCAGGAGAAAGATAGCTTTTAGCCATTACTTTGCGTGTCAAAATAGTGAGTAGCAATTAAAATAATGGTTGATCGTATTCTACACTTCACCACGCTGAGTGTTTGCGATTTAAACGTCATCACGCAAATTTTACGTCTGTCGACAGCACGATAATGAAATTTATTCCAATTTTGGCATTGTGTTCTTCTATTCTCCATTGATCTCTTACATTAAAATGCGAATAAGATATTGCAACACCTGCGAAATATTTTCATTGTTCATACGCATTCCTTCTCATGATGTAAATTTCACAATTTTGGCTTCCACTATTGAATACATTACTACGTTCAAGGCAGAATAAAAATACAAATACAATTGAACGGTTACAAATCAAATTACAATAAAGACCAATTATCTTCGATCGCACAGAGACGTCGTCATTATACGTTCACATTAGAATTTACAACATTGCCGAATGATACAAAAGTTCTAAATAAAATTACCAGAAAACAAGTCGAGCTAACGTAACTTCATTTTCCAATCTAACTTTATTTTCAAACTTACTATAACTGCTGGACAAGGCTCAAAATGTACGAAAGCAGAACAGAAGGATAATAATGAGAAACAATGTAGTGAAGGTAAAGATTAGAGAAACAGTTGTAAAGTGAAAAATAATAAAGTAACAATTAAAATCTAATATTTCACGATTGAAGCGTCGAGAAACGTAACGTTCACGTGTTTACGATTAAATCGCCGGCACCGATTATCCGTTTTCTGTGTTAGACAACCGCAAGCGAGAAGGGAACAATTGTGTAGAGATCAGACTTTGTAATGGTAACCGTATAAAAAACCTCGGTCTATCGTTTGCTTCTATTTGAAGATAACATCGGAGAGCAATTCGATTTCGCTGAGAGTGAACAAATTGGGGCTGCGGGCCGCCTAGCCGAAGCTTTGAGGCGCCTTTCACTAGTTTTGCCACGTAGCTGCCGTGGAAATTGTCATGCTTCCCCTCCTTATGTTCAAGGTATCTAGAATATTACCATCATCTGACATTCGTCTCTGTGTGAGCATAATCGATGTTGAGATGTTAGCGCGAGTCGAACGGTACGAACAGATCTTGCCCGTAGTGACCTATTGTACTTACATAAATCTGCACACTGCGCTT